GAAAAAATGTTGCTATTTTGTGTTTAACACATTTTTATATATTTTATTGTTAACATTCATTAAATGAGAAAAATTCTCCGTTTTGATACTTGACAGGTTAAAAATAAGTCAGACGTATAGAAGTGGAGTATAATATTGTTAAAGGTTAAAATGTGCAATGCATATTAAAAAAAAATCTATTTGTAATTGTTAATAGTTTTCTTTCATTAGAATATGTTGATAAATTTGAAATATATTGCACATATTATGTTGTGTTATGTAACAAATATAACATATTTGTTTTTTATGAATATTACTTTTACATTCTATCAAAAAATATTAACTTTGCAATATATATCTGATAGTTATATTTATATTTTTTTTTATAATTTATAAGGCTATCGGTTGTATTTTTTGTAAATATTTTGAATTTATATTAGATTATTCCAGGGATGTAAGTCTCTTTTGATTTAAGAGTTTTAATATTGTTAATTGAGGCTTTATTTCATTGAATATATTTATTTGTGATAGCAACTTTATATTAAAAAATATTATTTTAATTTTTTGTTTTATTTAATTACCTAGTAAATATGATAAAAAAAAGGGAATTAAATTAAGTGTTTAAAGGATACTGAAATTTCGAATATCCTTTGATTTGCCTTAAAGTATGACAACTATAGGTGGGCAAAATAATCGAGTGATGATTATCGATTAATTTTTGTATAAAAATCGAATATTTCGATTTAATCGATTATTTTCGGTTTAATCGATTATTTTCTGTTTAATCGATTATTTTCGTTTAAACGATTATTTTCAATAAATCGATTATTTGCGATTTATCGATTATTTGAAATTAATCGATTATTTAAAATTAATCGATTATTTGAAATTAATAGATTATTTTTGATTAATCGAATAATTTCAATTTATAAATATTTTAATTAATCGATCATTTCAATTAATAGATTATTTCAATTACTCGATTTTTTAATAACTGATACTAGATTATTCGATTATTTTCAATTAATTGATATTTTTAATTAATCGATATTTTAATTAATCGATTATTTTCAATTAATAGATTATTTGCGATTAATCGATTATTTGTGATTAATCGAATATTTGAAATATATCGATTATTTTTTATTAATCGATTAATTTCAATTTATAGATTATTTTAATTAATCGATTATTTCAATTAGTTGATTCTTTTAATAACCAATACTAGATTAACTGATTATTTTCAAATAATCGATTATTTTCAATTAATCGATTATTTTCAATTAATCGATTATTTTTAATTAATCGATTATTTTCCATTAATCGATTATTTTTAATTAATCGATTATTTTCAATTAATTGATATTTTCAATTATTCGATTATTTTCCATTAATCGATTATTTTTGATAAATCGATTATTTTTGATTAATCGATTATTTTTGATTAATCGATTATTGATTATTTGGCTTATCGATTATTTCGTTAAATCAATTATCTCGGTTATTCGATACTCGTTATTAGATAATTAATTACTTTTTTTGATAATCGCTTAGCCCTAATGACGACGGTTTCTCCGGTTGAAAATACTTTGAGTCACAAAAAGACACATATTTTAAAGCAATCTGTGATTGTTAAAATATATTTAAAATTCCAAGAAAATATACAAAAAATAAAAACAATATAAATATAAAAAATACAAAAAATATGCAAAAGAAAAAATTAATATATTTTTTTTTAATCGACCTTATAAATACTAGAATTTTATTCGTTTATTTTTTTTTATTTAATAGTGTTATTTCATATAAAAATTCCCGGAAACAGAGAAATTTATCAGTTTACTAATCAAGGGATCAGGTAAAATACATTTCTTAAAAACATTGTAGGAAACTTAAATACTTACAACGTGTAATAATAAAATTAATTAATTTTATCATTTCTAATAAAATGTATCTCTTCTTCTTCCTCTTCTTTTTCTTTTTTCTTTTTCTTATTCGTCTTCTTCATATTTTTCTTTTACTTCTTCTACTTCTGCATTTCTTTCTTTCTGCATTTCTTTCTTTCTTTCTTTCTTTCTTTCTTTCTTTCTTTCTTTCTTTCTTTCTTTCTTTCTTTCTTCTTTCTTTCTTTCTTTCTTTCTTTCTTTCTTTCTTTCTTTCTTTCTTTCTTTCTTTCTTTCTTTCTTTCTTTCTTTCTTTCTTTCTTTCTTTCTTTCTTTCTTTCTTTCTTTCTTCTTCTTTCTTTCTTCTTCTTTCTTTCTTTCTTTCTTTTCTTTCTTTCTTTCTTTCTTTCTTTCTTTCTTTCTTTCTTTCTTTCTTTCTTCTTTCTTCTTTCTTTCTTTCTTTCTTTCTTCTTCTTTCTCTTTTCTTTCTTTCTTTCTTTCTTTCTTTCTTTTCTCTTTCTTTATTGCTTTCTTTCTTTATTACTTTCTTTCTTTGTTTCTTTCCTTCTTTCTTCTTCACTTTCAGTTTGTGTAGTGGCTTACTTAAAATGTTTCTTTTGCATTGATGACATACCTCTATCTTTTTAGTGTTTTTATGGACCCCACCTCGTCTTCTCACGCTTCCGATGTTCACTCTCTTCTCTCTCTCTTTCTCATTCTCAACTGACATTTCAGTCGTACCAACTTCTTAAAAAACAATATAGGTAATCTAATAAATTAAAATCTACAACAATTTTATAGCGATTATATCATTATTAGGCATTTCTTTGAATAAACCAGCTGAAGAATTATGATCAAATACAGAAGCATTCAGATATTTTTTATTTGCTAATAGGACGCCTCCACCACTTGTATTAATCGTAAGAGCATACTTTCTATCAGAACGAAAAACATCATAATAATTTAAATTTGGCAGCTGGCCATTATGGAAGTCATCATTAAGCCACGTCTCAGTAAATGCATAAATATCAAATGGACATGCCACTGATACTTTTCTTAACTTTGTCCGAATTCCCCTAAATTCTGATAGTAACAAAGTAACGTATTGGCGTCAGGTATGTTTTTAATTAGAACATTATCTGTGTTTCTGATTAACTATGTATGTGGCTATTTAATCAAAAAATCATTATATATCCACTCTTGCGAAATTTGCGTAAATTTCTCAGAAGAATGCAATTTACTTAACAATTCTAACTTGTTAACGCATTTAAAAGCATACGACTCTGAAGAAAAGGTGTTTGGCAATTTAAAAATCTCCCAGCGACAAATTTCTTTTTTATATTTTCAAATTAGGAAAAATACTTGTATCTCTATTTGATAGTTTGTCAACTAAGCCTGGAATTTCCAACGCATACCTTTTTGAGATGAGCAAAATAGAATTTGGTCATCCTTGCCAACAATTTGCGAAAATGTACACCATTAAATTATTTATAAGACTTAGAATTTTTTATACTCTTAAATATGCAAACAGAGATTTGAAATCCTCGAAAAAGTCAGACAAAACCAAAAGAAAAATTAAAATTTTGTCCCATTTATAAATATTGATTTTTTTCATCATATTTTTGACTGCTTTGTAAAAAAAAGTTATTTTTCTTTGTAGTTTTATTTCTTTACTATTCCAATGGTCCAACTAACGTTTTTTCGTAATCACAATAAATAAATTATTATCATGGTCCAACAAACGCGCACATTAAGCCGAAACCGTCATCGCCTTTGTGAAGGAGTCGGTAAAGATGCCGCTGCGTTCATTCGTATCTGGTCTAGGTAATCTGTGCCATGGGTACAGTACGTCACGATCAGGACAGCGCCCCGCTTGTGACGTATAATTCATCGCATATGTTCATCTCTTGCTAAGCGATATTGTCGTTGTCCTTGTTTTTTTGCATCATAATGAGAGAGAAAACAACAAAGGCACACTCAGTGATAGAGTCTCTGCCTGTGGATCCAAGGGTCCCAGGTTCGAATCCCACCGTTGGCCGGAATTTTTTCATTTAATTTAATTATTTAAAATTAATTCTGATGCCTTGGTAGGATTCCACACTCGACCATTCACTGTTGGGTTCTAATTAATAGTGTTGTTCCTAAAGTGGCGCTGGGAAACAGTAACAAAGCCTGCACAGAACACGAGGCAAAATAACCTGAGCAGTTGAAGCCGATGACGCACCAAAAAAAAAAAAAAAAAAACTCCGTAAATCAAGGGTATCAAAAACACTGCAATAATCATAACCTACCTACAGCTTACCATGAGACATAACTTTTTTGTATGTGTTAAGATCCGATTGAATCACAGCTTGAAACAGGCGGTTATTTTTCTTTGGAAGGACAATGGATACTAGTTTAATGTTGCTTTCAGGGCTAAATTCATTTTTATTCAATTCAATAAATGCGAAAGATCTTCTTCACTTAGACATTCCGCCATCCTAACTATTTTAAACCTTGGATTGATAGCAGATACTTCGTTGATTGTGTAATTCGTAGCAAGCTTATCGTTAGCCAATTCTTTAAATTTTTCCATTTCCTCTGATTTGTTACAACTAATAACGTGATCACGATTTCGTACATTCTTAACTTTGGTTATAGCCACATTAGAATTAATGGGATTTATGTTTTTTAGCATATCAGTCTTGGTCACCGATGTCTTGTTTTGATATCGGTTTTATAACGACTGAAGATTGTTTTTGATCATGTGTAACACCCTGTATGTATATGTCATCGTGTTATCTGGCTATATCAATTCAATAAACGTAGTTATGCGCTAGTTCAGTGATGATGTAATTATGATTCCACTGACAATTAAAGTGACAGATTTTTTGAGTGCGTTTTTTTTGTTTGTTTTGTTTACCTAAATTATATGGTTATTTTCACTTTTATAAATATATTCCTAAAATAGATAGCATGTATCAAATATACAATACAACTAGCGCATTGAGACTCATTAATTTTTAAATAAAACAAAAAACCTACATGTATTTCAATAACACCATAATTATGCCATAAATATTATTTATTGAGAATTTTCATAAATTGGCAATAAAAAAAATAAAAATAATTCGCAATCAATAAAAACAGTTTTTGTTGACCAATAATTTAATTTCCTACATCTTCAACTTTTTGACATTTCTTAAAAAATAAATAACAATTTTTTGGGACAGTAAACACTATATAAGACTAGATCTAATACACTTATCACTTGCAATATATACATAAGTTCTGAACACATTTAATAAAATCTTATTATTATTATTATTATTTAGATTATATTTTTTTTATTTAGTAGGAACACTAGAAATTAGTTCCCTTCTTTTATATACAGGTCCACTTTGAGAATTAGTCGATTTCTCTTCTCGCTTCATTTGAGAAGAAGCCGATTCTAAAGCTTCAGAGTCTGGTATATGTCTAGTTTGATGCCTCGAATCAGTATATCTTCTCTTTGTGTATTTCTTTTTCTCTTTCTCTATAGTAGATGAAGCTGTTGTTTTAGTTTTAGCCGCATCCGCTTTCATCATCTTTTCGAAATCGGCAGTCTTTGATCTTAGCACAGCGTTACCAATACTAGTAATGCTAGTTGTAAATCTTGGCTCTCTTTCAACGTCTTTTTGCTTACTAAAAGAAACTTCTCTGTGGTACGTTCTGGACGGATCTTTAACTTGCTGTATCTCTTGTGTCGAAGAGAACGAAACTTTTTGTAAACTAGGAGCTATTTCTCTAACTATGTTACTTTTTAAAATTTTTATTACGGATTTAGGAGAATTAATATCGTCTGGTATATAGTTTACAGAAGTTCTAGTACTGTCAGGTGATGTGGGAGGACTAGATGTCCATGAAGGGGGTGAACTGTATACACCTGCGTCAGCGATACTGCTGGATATTGATGTAGGAGTATTTTGTACTGGGCTTGAATAGGTAGTAGCAGAAGAACCTACAGCCGAATCGTAACCTGGTACCACAGATATCGAGCCAGTTATAGGCTGCATACTAGAGGTCGCAGAAGAATCGCTATCGATAGAATGGTTTCTTCTTCGTGGCGGTACCGTAGGCGTTCTCACCAACCCTACAGTCATCTGCTGCCTACCACTGTCACCATCTTCTATATAAGGAATGTCATCATCAACGTTGTAAGATAGCGATTGGTTCTGTGTGTGAACGGGTATAGTTAAGCTCGCAGTTATTATTCCACTGTTATCCAAAACGTATGGTGAAGATTTTCTTCTTTCGTAGAGCTCGTCTGTACTTTTCATAAGTCTGGTCAAATCGGACTCGGTATGTGCTGAACTAGTCGATTCGATCGAAGACGAACGGTTTTTACTGTAACTGTAATCGTCGTCTCTTTGGCCTCTGAACCTGGAGATTATTGTTAAGGCGGATGACGTTATGCTGCCTCCTTCTTTACCATCTTCCGCTTTTTCGCGACGTCGTCTGTAGCTTTTTTCTCTTATTCGGTCTTTATGTCTGAAAATAAAAATGATATTAATAAAACAATACCATTTTTTTAAAAAGTTTTTTTAGTTTCCACGAAAACTATTGAACTAGTGCAATTTTACTCCAAACAGTTCTACTACAATGTATTAGTTATACTTTGTATTCTTAAGTTGGCACACTTGTCAACGTCAACTGTTAGTTGTCTTAAAGGACACGCTTTGTAACTCTGAATACTTCCAGTTTGTTTTATATATTATTTTCATCGAACATTAAACGTTATTTCGAATAGAAGAGTGTTTAATTGAACCTAGAAGTGGCTGGTAGTATTCTACCAAAACGTCTTTATTTGGAAAAACTACGAAAACAAACAGATTGATAAAATCCACAGGATGAATGATCTCATCTCAAATTGGTTTGTTTGAGTAGTTTAGCCATAAAGAAAGACAGTTAAATATTTAAATCTAATAAAAATTTAAAAGGACGAGTGGTATTTAAATAGATTCTATTTTTTAATAAAAAAGACAATAAACATATGTCTATGACTGCCAAAAAAGGTCTTCTCCATTTTCATTTTTATCAAAAATAGCGATAAACTGTTTCAAGTAAGGTAAGTAAAATTGGAATTTTAAAATATTTTTTCTTTTAAGAACTCAAATTATAGATTAGGAAAAAGTAAAGTTTATTTGGCTATATTTATCAAAAAACAACTTATTTGACGTTAAAGTTTGGATAAGACCTTTTTTGAAACAGCTACTTTTTGGAGCAGCACCTACGGGATATGGAACGTTTTGGAAACGACAAAATTAACTTATAAGTATAAATTACGAAAGTTTGTTTTTGAGAATTAAGGAAAACAATGTTTGTTTTTTAGGTTTAGAGGCAAGTTTAGAAATATCCTGTGTGATATAGGTCCATTTGTACCACTGGTAGTTAAAAAATAAGCCAAGCTTAAAATGACATTTCTTCATTAACAATGTCATTTTAAGCTTCGGTTATTTCTTAACTACTAGCGGTGCGAATGGTCCATAGTCCAACGAGGACTAGAACATAGCAGAAGATGGTATCGTAAAGTGGGACTAAACCCTACAAAAACAACACTAGTAGCCTTTTCAAGGAATAGCAAACTTAATCTCAAAACCGTTAAATTAGACGGGATAGATATAGAATGGAAAACTGAACTCAATATCTAGGCCTAACCCTGGACAACAAACTTCTCTGGAACACAGATGAGAAGGAAATAGTAAATAAGGCAACAAAAGCCTTAATAGTATGCACAAACATTGCGGGTAAACGATGGGGATGTATACTGCAAGAGTGAGACCAATCATCACCTACGGGGCTATAGCCTGGAGTAACAGAACTAGTTTAGCTAAAACGAGAGCTAATATCTTAAACGTACAAAGACTAGCCTGTGTTTGCATCATCGTTACAATGAGAACCTGCCCTACAGACGCAATGGAGGAGATCTTAAACCTCACCCCTCTACATTTAATTATAGAGAATGTGGCAAAAAGGACACGATATAGCATGATCAGAAACGGAGTAATCAGACGAAAGTCTACTTGCTTCAGAACCAAAGTTACCTGGGATATGCCCCAGGATGAAATGATAAAGAAGTACAGTTTTGTGAAAAACTTCAAAACCACAGAGCTGGGCTGCAAGAAAGAATGGAGCCAAGAATTCCAAAACCATAGAAGGAACTGGAATAGGAGTGTATGGGCCGAGAACCAAGCACTCCAAAAGCTTAAGAAAATACCCAAGCATCTTCCAGGTGGAAATTCACGCCATCGAGAAGTGTATCCAGTTCAACATCGAGAGAAACTATCAGCTCTTACTTAATCAGCTCAAAAATGGTCTGGAGATGCCTAGAACAATTGAATGAGCTAGGCGAGAAAAATAGAGTTACTCTCACTTGGGTCCCGGGACATAACGGGGTACAGGGTAACGAGAGGCAAGGAAAGCGGTTCAAACACCCTTTGTGGGACCTGAGCCATTCTGCGGTATCAGCGGGAGAGACTAAAAATAATTGACAGTAGAAGAACCGATAATTGGAACAATATCTTGGGGCTGAGATAGACTAAGACACTTCTTAGTGAATGTAACCAGGTAAGATCGGAAGCCTGCATATACCTGAGGAAAGACAGGCTACGTATTCTAACAGGGATCCTTGCTAGGCATTGTCGAGTAAAAGGACACCTTAGTAAACTGGGAGTAGTAGAAGATAGTGAGTGTAGATTCTGTGAGGAGGAGAACGAAACCTTCATTCACATTCTAACTGAATGTGTAGCACTCCAGAATCCAAGGATACTATACCTAGGAGCACATCAAATAGAAGAGGGAGATTTTCCTAACTTGAAGTCACTCCAAATCCTACACTTCCTTGAGAAGATTGGATTCGAAGGCATTAAGGCATTTCCTTGCTGCATTAGGGACAGAAGGGGGTACAATAGATATTTTAGGTCGCAATGTATTAACACCCCATTCCCAATATAACAAAGATTATTTCTATAAAACTACCAATTGTTGGTAGTTCGGACAGTTTGGTTGGAATTAAAATAAAATAAGTAAATCACATTAAAGAAGACAAATTGTTTTGAATCAAGTTTACATCTCTGAAATGTTAAATTCTCTCGCTCAGTCCAGTTATTGCCAAAATGTTTTGATAAAAGTGTGTGGATATTCCTGCCTTTTTTGGATTGTAGAGGTGTTCCTAGCTGAATGTCCGCAGGACTACGTCCTTTTTTTGTAACTTATTTGAATCTCGAAAAATCTGCACCTTAGTATCTTAACTTGAGTTTCATGCCACTTGTCAGGATTTGACTTAGGTGTCCTCGCCATGACCTCGCCATGCCCTCACCATTCCAGGATCCGACTTTTATATTTTGTCGTTTTGGTATAGTTTCTCTGTGACTAATAAACACCAAGAACTCACAATTTAACAAATTAACTTCGAAATATCTTACTTAGATTCAACAAAGAGACCTCTCTCGACTAATAGGTTTTGTAATAATACAATAATTTGTAGGTAAGGGTCATGCAAAATTTGTCTCCAGGTTGATCAACTAATAAAATAAGAAAATACTAAGCTTCAAGTAGTATTAGGAAGAAAATGAGGAAAAACTAAAATTGGTTGAAAAAAGGCGGGTGTTTTAAAGTTGATTTAGGATAAGACGCTCCTTGGAACAGCTTGCTAAAATCTCCATTGGCATTATTGAGAATAAGACACGTTTTGGATAAGGTACAGTTTTGAAAGTTGTTATTTATTTATTATACAATGTCCACGGGGCTAACCCCAATTACAGGACAAGGGTTAACAAACAGAAAATGTATTTTACAATAATAAATAACAATTGGTTCGTTAAAAGAATGTCTTCACAAACACACAAATGGCAAAAAATAAAGAACAAAAAACAAAATATGCATTTGAAGTAGACAAACTTTTAAACCATACAAGTAATTGGGAGATAAACACTCACAACAACAGCAAAAAAAGAGACAAAAGGTATGAAATTTGAGCATAAATGTTTAACTGAACCGTTACAACTGTGCAATATGTCCAGATTCGGTTCTAAGAGACAATAATTTGACACAGCTTGATTAAGAGGTGATTATTTATATATATATATTTGTCCTATGAGGCGGAATGTGAAATATATGTAAGTTTCTGGAGTTTAGCCTAGGAACGTGGAAGTTGATCATGTTGATTAACTATATAAAGTCAACAGACCCATTAATTACTTTGTGTAAAAATGTGACAGAGAGCATTATTCTGCGTTTTACAAGGCTGCAGGATTCGAATCGGTCATAAAAATATTCTTGTGGAGTGCCTCTAGCGGGAAACATATTATCTAAAATAAAAGTGGCATATTTAAAAAATGCCATGATCCAACCTACAAAAGGCTTTAGAAAAATCAGTATAGATTACGTCTACCTGATTCTTTTTGTCAATTGCGTCACACAAGAACTGTGTAAAACAGAAGAGATTTGTTGTAGTAGAACGTCCTCTGATGAATCCATGTTGTTCAGGTATAATAACATTACGGAGCTTGAAAGAGAGATGATCGTGCAAAATAATTTCAAATGTTTTTAAGAAGTTGCACAGAATAGTAATAGGCCTATAATTGCAATTTCATTTCGATTATCTTTTTAAAAAACAGGGCATATTCGAAAAAGCTTCCAGATAGTTGGGAACGTACCCGATGATAGCATTAGTAGTCCAATTAAATAACGAAGAAAAGCCCCTTAGAGCTTACATTAATTTGTAATTGGATGAAACAAAAAGGACCTTGTGTATTTTATATAGATTATAGATATATTGTAAAGGTATACAAAAAATTACAAAATAATTAGAAAGGAAGGAATCAGATCAAGGCCGGTCGTTGTTTTTGTTTTTTTTTAGGGCAATCAGAACTTCGTTTTATGGATAAGACACAGTTATTTTAAGATACTTCTTCTTTAAACTGTAGTAGCAACATACATACGAGTAAAATTAGCATGTGTTATTTTGTACTTAATAGGATCAAAACTAAATTTTCTGCTTACCTTATCCTCATTCCGATGTTTGGACCTCCAGTAGCTGCTGCTTCATGAAGAAATTCTTCTCTAGAATACGTTTTCTTCGGATCCGTCGCTAGTTTGGTATCGAAAATGCTGTCCAGCGGGGGATCGTGAGTTAAAGTTGTTGGAGTCCAAGGTGCAGAGTTGCTTTCACTATCTAATTCATCAACAGACCTAAAAAAAATCACCGTTAACGATTCATTAATGGTCTAAAAACGTAGTCTTCTTTATAAGATTAAAAGGAATTTTAAAAGCCAAAAGTAAGGACTTTTAAATGAAACTAGGTTAATGTCTAATGATCAATTAATTAGATAGGTGTACAATGAGACAAGTAAAAAATGACAGATACGAAATTGATTTGCATTTAGCTCTTTATTTCTTGACATTAGTTTTGAACGAATGAGGTTTTTTCCGAACACCGCCTCAATTGAAATTGTCAGAATAATTTAATTATTTGTCAGTTGTATTATTTATACCAAAATATATTACTTGTAATTTTTATTGCATTTCCGTATTACATACTTAACAGTTTTACTTTAAGTTTCCATTATTTTTACTGTTAATGAGTCAATTGTAAAGGATACTTATAAAAATATATTCAAATTCAAACCAACGTGAAGGTAATTGATCTTCTAAATGTGACAAACAGTTTAAAAGTCTAGCATTAAAAAATCATTCAAAAGGAAAGACTTGTATTTCATGAAAAACTATTTAATTAATAAATGCAAAGCGCTTTAAGCATTGTGCCATCATCAGTGCTTATCTACAAAAATTGTGGATGTAAACTTACAATTTAAAAATATGGTTAAATATATAAATATTGTAAGTTCAATTTTTGTAGATAAGCACTGATGATGGTACAATGCCGAAAGCGCTTTGCATTTATCAATTAAATAGTTTTGCACGAAATACAAGTCATTCCTTTTGAATCTAAACTACGTGCACACAGCTGTCAACCATTTTTGGTTATTTTAATTAAAAAATCATTACTTACTCATCGGCTGCAGCACTACCATCCTTCTTATTCATTACAGCTTCCAATTCCTCTGGATGCGAATCCATCATGTGAATATAGACCTCGTCTAACAGCTCCGCGGATACCGTGAAAATATTCTTATAATGATCTATAAGAGTTCTCACTACGTTAATGATATCTATCCTATCTTCCGGCCTATCTGCATTGTCCTTTGCACCCGGTTTTATACAATGTAAAATATTAGGGGCAAAAACAGTGGCTAAATTGTTGGAGTCCATTTTGTTACCAGCGATTGGGTCACCTAGATAAAATTAAAAATGAATTTAGAAAAAATGTTTGGTAGTTATTGTTTTTTACAATCTTACGCGTACGAAAATTTAGAAACTGGTAATATACCAGTGAATGGAATACGGTATAACAGGAGCATGAACATAACATACAGAGACTGGCCCTACTACATACACCAGACACAGAATGAAGAGACGAGTGCCAGGTGTCAGTCTGTTACATGCAATATTATACCTTCTACAATTTACTGTAAGGTATATCCCGCGTTTCTAAACATTTATTAAGAAATATAAAGCAACATTACTAAATAGAGAACCAGGTCAAAACGAACATTATAATCTTTTGGGAGAGACAAAGGCTGGAAGTCTATTATATTGAAGAAATTCAAATATATACGGGATGATTCTAAAAGAACACTTACGATTTACTGAATAGACTTCTTATGAAAAATGAAAACAGAAATACGCAATTCGATATTGCTGGTTTCCAATAAATCTTGAAGAAAAATAAATTTGTATTCAAAACCTAGAAATACAAGCGGACGAAGTTGGTAATATTAATTAAAAGATCAGAATAAGTTTCATTTTGTTATGGATACCATTAAGCTAGGAATAATTTCTTTTCTATACAATACTACAAAAATTAGCCAAAATTAACCAAAATTAACCAAAATTAACCAAAATTAACCAAAATTAACCATAATTAACGAAAATTAACCAAATTTAACGAAAATTAACCAAAATTAACCAAAATTAACCAAAATTAACCAAAATTAACCAAAATTAACCAAAATTAACCAAAATTAACCAAAATTAACCAAAATTAACCAAAATTAACCAAAATTAACCAAAATTAACCAAAATTAACCAAAATTAACCAAAATTAACCAAAATTAACCAAAATTAACCAAAATTAACCAAAATTAACGAAAATTAACCAAAATTAACGAAAATTAACCAAATTTAAAGAAAAAAACCAAAATTAACCAAAATTAACCAAAATTAACCAAAATTAACCAAAATTAACCAAAATTAACCAAAATTAACCAAAATTAACCAAAATTAACCAAAATTAACCAAAATTAACCAAAATTAACCAAAATTAACCAAAATTAACCAAAATTAACCAAAATTAACCAAAATTAACCAAAATTAACCAAAATTAACCAAAATTAACCAAAATTAACCAAAATTAACACAAAATATTAGGTTTTACGTGGGTTTTAGATTCCTGATAGCTTATTTCGGGACAAAATCCAGGATCTTTTAAAGAATAGCTACAATTGTACGACGGAAAGTCTACAATTTGGAAATACTTTGCCTTAAAGTACCTCTACTTGATGAGCATTTTTTCCAGCAGCCTAAGTTATTATTATAAAGCCCCATCCAGTTCAATATTGGCAAAATACAGCATCAAGAGTAAAAAAGTAAAAAAATAATAAGTAGAATAGGCACGACTATTGTAAAAAATATTTGACAAAAACGCTAACAACGATTATGACTATTACCAAAGTATATTAACCGTTGAGTAGCGACATAAAGCGTCGGTGCCTTTGATCTTGGGTGGTGCAAATTTTCTTTCTCTCTCTTTTGACGTTTTGACGGAACGACACAGTAAAACACTGCTCGAATTATGAACTGGTCTTGAATGTGATGTTTACACTGCTCGACGTAATTTGAAGTAAAACTCTTTTGTAGTTTACATTTATAATAAAGGTTTGGTCATTAGGCAGTTTTATATTTATGAGTATTTAACTTATGTAGTAAATATAAAAATATATATCACTTATAACACATGCATTTCCTGGCATAATAAAAAACCCACAAAACCTCAAAAAATCTTAACAAAAACACAATAAAAGAGCACTAATAAATCCACAACAACGAATTCCTATATCACCTGCCGGACTAAAGTGAAAGGGGTTGTTTACATCTTTAGAAGACGTCTCGTCTCTCTATTTCGCGTCGGCGCACTAGAATTCGGTTCCCCAGCTGTCGCTACTCAACGGTTAATATACTTTGCTATTACGAAGACATTAATCTAGATTTTTTCATGACCTATGTCAACTTCAGTGGCGTACTCCTGATTCAATTAATTACCTGTTTCATTTTTACTGTCGTCTGCATATTTAGCTACAACAGCTAGAAAACTAAGGAGTGCATGAAGAGTATCTCTGTTTGCTGAAGGAAGAAGTTGAACCAAATGTTGGAGGGCCTCAAATTGCAGTCTTCTATTTCGTATCCCTAAAAAGGGGAAAAATATAAAAATTTAATTTATCTAAATAATAAATAAATATTACTTTGTGTTTGAACAAACGGATGATATAAGTCTCTGCATAGTAAGGGATCGGGTAAATCCCTCAGGTATTCCTTTAATAGAGTAGCTACATCATGCGGGCATTGTTCGTTTTCTAATGTAGTTTCTTTGCCGCAATCGAAGTCTTCTCGGAGCTGAAACAAATAATAATTGTTTTATTGTGTCAAATAAAATATACAATAAGTTTTTCATGGAGATAATTTATGTATCTGTATGATTGTAGTTTTTTTATCGTCCTTTCATATAGCCCTCTGCTCTTCCTGAAATGATTCAGTTTGGGTTTCAACATGGATCATTGGGCCATCATTTGTATGCCCTACTCATTCCCATTTAGATAATTTGTACATTATATTGATATATTCTACTGTCTAGATTGTAGTTGGGTTTCGAGCTCTATGAGTTCAGTCACACAACCAGACCATGATCATACTCATATTGATGGGCTGTGATAAGAGTTTTGAATATCTTTCAGTCAATCAGCGACTCGTTTCTTATAGAACAAGTTTCCAGACTACTAGAAGACATAAATTTTCTTATGTAATTTGATAAAATATGTGATTTTAATAAGATGGCGGTTCACGACATTACAGTGGCCAAATAAGAGCAAATCTCTTCAGGCAGTAAACTAAATATTAGAATGGAAGAGGCCTTCATTTATCTTTTTGGTCATCCAGAGGCCCAGAACTTAAGAATTTTTGTACAAGAAAACGTATTTTTAATAATGTGTGCCAGATCCTAGAAAATGTTTTCTTTCTATTGAAGTTCATTTAATGTTTGTGTATTTCTATAGACTCCAAGTTCAATTTGGTCAAGTAACGTCTTGATGTTGCTAGTAGGTCGGTGTTTTCAAAAAGGATCTTGTGTTGTTCCTCGTTAAGTTACCATGCTAAAAACTTAAGATGGATCAAAGGTCACTCCACATTAAAAGGTAACCATCTTGCTGATTCACTGACCAAGAAAGCATCCAACCAATTACTTTTTGAACCTGATCCTTCTATTAATCTCGCAAAATCGCTAGTGACAGACTTAAAGAACATTCCCTTGTGAAATTCAAGGAAAGATGTGATGAAACGAGTAACTGCAGACTTGCTGGGGAGCTTTTTGGTTATCCTGACAACACTGCAGCCAACAAATATTTGACAGAATCCGCACTCTGCAGGGATGCGAATAAAATGAGACCATCAATCCTATCCTCTACGATTGCTCGACACTTCCATTTATTAGAAGATTTATATTCTGTGAGTATCGGCTAACACCGTACGATATAAGACCTCGTTTTGGTTTGTGAATCTAGCGCAACGTGCTCAGCTTTCGTTTGATGATTTGTACGCCTGCTTGGTTGCTTGCCATGAGCAATCTTTGTAAATACTTTATTTCTTTGGTAGTTATTTTGAATTGTGTATGGCTGAGTGCGTTCCGTATTATGAGTTTATGCATTTTGAACATAGCCTCGTTCGTCACGTTTGATGGTTTTGGTGAGTTGTTTTTATAATATACTGAGATAAAAATTGGGTGTGGAATATTAATTTTCTGATATTTTGGTTAATCTGATAGTTACCGTTCTGCGATTTATGAGAAGATTTTGTCTCTAGGTTATATCTTGAGAAAGGATTTCTTTCGTAGCATTGCGTTGCTTTTTAGCCAGGTGTTTGTTGTATAAAAGCCACAAAAAGCCTCAATAGGAATTAGTTGGTATGTACATAATATGTTTTTATTTGTTTATTCTCAAAGTTTCTTGTAATTTTATTATTAACATTTATTGCAGTGAGTTAGTGATGCTATGAGATAGGGTGTTTTTAGTATTTTTTAGTATTGAAACGTGGCAGTTATATTGAATAAATGCTAGGGGTTAGTATTTAATTTAGTGTTAGATTTAGTATACCATCGTGTTATTCGGTTTATTTGTATTTCTTAGTATTTGAATACGGTTGAGCTCTACGTAGTTTTAGTTTAGGCATCTTCACCGTTAAAAAGTGTCAAATGGGGACCTTTGGCAAGAGAGAAGCAAAAAAGCTTCCTATTTGCGCTCTTTGTTCTTCTCAAGGGTTCACTGTATGAACGAGGACCCACTAACTGGACGAGGGCCTGCTGGTCTTTGGACCAACTACCCAACCCGACACCGATCTTAAATATATGGTATCCTTGACAATTTTGATATTAATGCTTTAAAAACTTTAATTGAACTAAGATTTGTACAGCAGGGCCAGATGTTGGAAAAGCTTTCGGTAGGCAGAAAGAGAGTTAACATCAAAACACGTCGAACTGCTATATTTATATTTTTACTTGATTATACAGGGTGTCTGTAAAAGGTCTTTACAAAAACATACCACATATTTCTTAGACCAAAATAAGTCGATTTAACTAAAATTACCTTAGTACAAAGTTGCTTCGTTTGGGCTCCAGAGGGCCTTGAAGTTACAATGTTTAAATCGTTTTTCCCATATAAATTTAAAACGGCATTATTGATTTTGCTGAAATTTGGTATAATGGTAGAGTTTTATGTAACAAAAAAAATGTTATTAAAATTTTGTCCGATAATAATACATAGGCGTAGAACTTGATTTTTTTAAATAATTGCACCTTTAAAAATTCTACGCCAATGGAAGAAAAGGAGTTTGAGTATGAAATTTAGATTTCGCAACTCATTTACTTTAAAACAGGTACTCCTGATAAGACTCGATTACTCTCATGGTTTTAACGAAATTTGCATTTTAGTAATTTTAGAACATAAACAATAATTATTAAAATACAAACTTTGTCAAAACCATGAGAGTAAATCGAGTGTTATCAAGGGTACTTTTTTGTAGTAAATGAGTACCCAATCCAAATTTCATACTCAAACTCCTTTTTTGCCATTGGCGTAGAATTTTTAAAGGTGCAATTATTTAAAAAATAATAATAACACCTAATCTCTTGTTAACTATTGAAAGTGTTCTATCTGACTCAATAATTAAAAAAACAAATGCGTGGTTTATTAATATGGCTGTACAATATACCAATGCAGAATATTCTTAATGTCAGTAAATTAGGATTTTGTGAAGGAAATGCTCGAGAGAGTGTCAGGGTGTACTCTGAAACGTTTCCAAATCTTCGTGTACCTAGCCACCCAACTTTTGCTGCTGTTGAGAGACGTCTTCGGCAGACCGGTTCCTTTGCTCCCAACACTGTTGATAATGGAAGAGAACGTTTTGTAAGGATTCCTGAAGTTGAAGAAGACATTTTAGAACGTGTTGAAGAAGATCCAGAATTAAGCACCAGACGAATTGGAAGGGAACTAGGAGTAAGTAAAGATGTCGTTCATAAAGTGCTTAAAGAACAATTGTTATATCCATACCATAAGAAGCCAGTACAAGAATTATTAGTCCATGATCCTCAAATTCGTTTGGGTTTTTGTCGATTTGTTAATATGCAAAGAGAAAGAGATCCTAACTTTGTCAAGAAGGTTCTCTTTACCGATGAAGCGGGTTTTACAAGAAGAGGTATAACTAATACCCATAATGAACATGTTTATGCCGTTGAAAATCCGCATGCAATAAAGGTAAACCATTTTCAGCACGAATTCAAAATTAATGTGTGGGCTGAAATAATTGGTAATTTCATTGTTGGTCCTGTCATACTTCCACGAAGATTAACTGGAGAAAATTATTTGGATTTTCTACAAAATATGTTGCCAGAATTGTTAGAAGATTTACCTCTCCAACTTCGGAGAGATATGTGGTTTATGCAAGATGGAGCTCCACCACATTTTTCTTTAAACGTTAGAAACCACTTGAATGAACAATATCCACACAAATGGATAGGCAGAGGTAATGACGCACCTGTAAACTGGCCACCACGTTCCCTAGACCTAACACCGATGGATTACTTTTTATGGGGACATCTGAAATCCACAGTTTACAGGGAACCTGTAGAAAATGAGGAACAACTCTGGCAACGTATTCAAGATGCAATAAACAATCTTAGAGGTGATGAAGAAGTTATGGAAAGGATAAATTTTAATTTTCTTCGACGTATAAATCTTTGTATGCGTGAAAATGGTGAACATTTTGAACAATTTTTGTAAAATCTCTATTTTGATTATGTTGTAAATAAATATTTTTGTGAAACCTATACACTCTAAATTATTAAAACAGAAATTTAGCGAAAACCATGAGAGTAATCGAGTCTTATCGAGAGTACCTTTTTTAAAGTAAATGAGTTGGGCAATCTAAATTTCATACTCAAACTCCTTTTCTTCTATTGGCGTAGAATTTTTAAAGGTGCAATTATTTAAAAAATCAAGTTCTACGCCTATGTATTATTATCGGACAAAATTTTAATAACATTTTTTTTGTTACATAAAACTGTACCATTATACCAAATTTCAATAATGCCGTTTTAAATTTATATGGGAAAAACGATTTAAACATTGTAACTTCAAGGCCCTCTGGAGTTCAAACGAAGCAACTTTGTACAAAGGTAATTTTACTTAAATCGACTTATTTTGGTCTAAGGAATATGTGGTATGTTTTTGTAAAGACCTTTTACAGACACCTTGTATATTTAGATGTTGGTAGCACTTTCATCCAAACTAAATGTGCAGGCAAAATTTCATCTCAATCGGTTATGGATAATCGTTTTAAATTTCATTTGAAAGATTTATCACATGCTACACATGCCTAGTAGTTTTTATTTTTCAATGATCTCTTTAATTTTATGGGGTGTTGTGGTTTATAACTTAAATATAATTACATTAAATAAATTTCTTTGTAAAATAAAATTAGTTTGAGATAAAGAATGACAACAAAATACTTCTTGATAAACTTAATGAAAATTCAGTCAAATTAAAAGATCTAGAAATAAAATATCAACACGTATTAAATAGATGCCTGTACTTTGAGCGATCTCTAAGAAAAAACAATATTTTCATTTATGGTCTACACGTTTCAGACACTGAAGATTTATTGACATATATAATAACAAAATTTAAAGAGCTGCTAGACGTAGATGTTACAAAACAGGACATAAATAATATATTTACATTAAACAGCGACAATATTCCACCCATAAAAGTAGAGCTAACCACCTACATCAAGAAGAGAGAAATTCTCCAAAATTGCAATAAGCTTAAAGGCAAAAACGTATATATAAACAA